AAAGAAAAGAAAAGAAAAGAAAAGAAAAGAAAGGAAGAAAAGAGTTCAGTTCTCAACCTGCACTCCCTAACATCTGCCAGCAGCTGAGATCTTGGGTGGGGGCCGATGAGTGGCATTCTTCGTGGTCCCACCCCACCCTGGGCCCCCTCCTTTCCCGTGTGCTGGCAGGGTCATGGGGACACTGTCAGAGCAGTTCTTGTTCCATTCTTTTCCCGCCTAAGGATCAGGATCCCTGTGCTGCTACCTGCAGCACCTGAGGACACATCTCTCCCATCCACCCCACCTTCATCCCCAAGCTCTGTTCTTCTTCGGCCACTGGCCTCCCTTTCCTCTTGGCCTGAGCTGGCCAGCCCTATATGGTCTCGTGAGCAGCCCATGAAGGAGGGTGTTCTTTGCTGAGCCCTGACAACGTGATTGGACATTGGAGGGACCTGGGTGTTCACATGCCCTGGGCTACTTGTTTCCATCATACTCATAACACCTGTTGTCTTAGGCCTACCAAACCCTGCTGTCCACATCTAAGATCAGTTTTGTTAATGGGATCCATGCATTGGTTCAGGTTTAGCTCTTCAAAACCATCTGGCCTCTGTTGACCCATTGAGTCAGACTCAGGATGAAGAATCAAGATTAAGGCACTTTACTGACTCACGGGATTTTTGAGTTTATTGACTAACAGCAACATTTTTGTGTGAGCGTGAAAGGAAGTGGAATGTGTGGACACACGGACTCCTGAGAAACCCCCAAATTGTCTCCTTTTCTACCAAGGCTGCTAGCTTTGGCCAGGCAGGATGGACACAGCCAGTGGGATGCCAAATCCCACCTTCACCCTCCCATCAAAGACCTTGCTCTTCAGACGACAACGTGGATTCAAGTGTCATCTTGCCATCAAGCCATTCTTTTTCTTTACCTTATGAATAACTTTGAAAAAAAAAAGGAAGACAATGTCAAAAACTCACCTTACAAACAGGGAATATTCCTGCTACGGACTGAATGCGTCACATCCAAAATCCAGGAGTTGTCAATGTGACGGAATTAACAGGTGGTACCTTTAAGAGATAATTAGGCCATGAGGGCTCTTCCCTCGTGGGTGGGATTACGGCCCCTATAACAGAGGCTTCATGCAGTGTACCTTGCCCTTCCACCTTCCACCACGTGAGGACACAGCAGGAAGGCCCTCACAAGATGCTGGTATCTTGGTCCTGGGTTTCTCAGCCTCTAGAGCTGTGAAAAATAAATTTGCGTTCCCTCTAAATTACCCAGCCTGTGTTATTCTGTTGTAGCAGCACCAACAGACAAGGACAGTTCGTTTTCTGGGCTCCTCAGGGGCCAGGGAAGAATCAGATGCCCAACTCACAGGATGCATATAGACATGAGGGACTCTGGGTCTTGGGACCTGAAGGGGACGTGTGGAGTGAGTAGGAGTTGTCTTGAGACCGCATGCAGGACCAGGGTTGACAGCTGGGATGCGCTCTTGTGTATGTACCCTGGCAATTCCCTGCCCTCCCCAAGTTCCGCCCCCTCTTCCCTTCCTCTACCTCAGTGAGAGAGGTTTGTAGAGTCTGCAAAAACCTCCTCACATTCTCCTTGTCACTTTGTGTTCATGACAATGGTCAATCTCCCCAGGGCTGTGTCCCAGCCTTGACCTCCTCGGAAAAATGAGGAAAGTATCCAGATGTCCCCCAACAGAAGGGAAAGTGGCCACAGTGTAGAATAAAGCAGCGTGTATGTAGCACATTGTGGAATTAATTTACATTTAGTGTTTTCTTCTACTGTCTCGTTTGATTTCAGCTGTAACCATTTGCGGATAGCCAAGCAGAGGTTGCCATCTTTATATAAGTGACTCAGAGACAGCAGATGAGAGATTAGGAGCTGAGGGGTGCAGAGTTGAATAAGAACTCACGTTTCTGGGGAAAGAGGAAGCTCACGACACCACTACAATACGCGTCCCTTTTCCTTCCTGGGCTTGGGGTCCAGGAATACTACTGACCAGATGTTCCCAGCATGTCTCTGGCCTTAGCCTCTGGCACAGAATTTGCTCAGGGGGCCCACCTCATGGCTACACTCAGCATCTATGAACCTAATTTTCTGACTCTTCACCACACAGATTCCTGAAGGGGAAGTGTAGCTATCTCCAGGGGTAAGTGCAGACGGGCAGGGCGAGAGGAGGCCTTTCCAAAGGAACAGGGACCTTCGTGCAAGACCTGTCCTCTAATTAGGCCTGTGCACTGAGGTCATGCCATGCGTGACGGAGAGTCCTGGAAATACATAGATGTCAACATGTCTCAGAAATTGTGGACGTACATTTCTTGGGGATGCAGAAAAATGTTGAAGACCCACACATGTAATCTGAGTCCGGCAGAAACTAGCACATCCTCCCAGGGACCAGTGCTTGGAGTGCGTTCCTCTCCCCTTGCTCCATGAGGGAGGGCTCTGCTTCCACAGGGTCCTGGGCCAGGTCACCCCCCACAGTGGGCTCACTCCCCATGAGACCCTGTCCTGGGAACTGCCTCAGAAATGAAGTTTGAATGAAATGAGTGGGGCTGACTCTTTGGAAGACACCTGTGGGAATCACTGTGGATAAAGCACCTCCTCTGAGCTTCCTTCTGCGGATGGAGTCAGGGTCAAAAGAAGGACCAAGGCTGGGAGCACACAGGGGAGGTGGTGGGAGGGTCTCAAAGGAGAACCTGCTCAAGTCTGGAACAAGGCAGGGCAGGGCTGTGTGGGTTCCAGAGACCAGATGGGACAAAGTGCAGCATCTGTGCCCACCTCCGTGCCGGCAGGCCGCAGGGAGGTCTCCAGGCCTGGCTCTCACTTCTGCTTGCCTGAATGCCTGTGGTCTAGGGACCACCCTTCCAGAATGTCTGTGGAAGGCACATCCCAAGACAATGGTCCAAACAATGGCCTTGTGCTGGGACCCCGCAGGCTGACCCTGAAATGCAGACTGGCAGGTGTAGGTAGTTTATTTGGAGGTGATCCCAGGAGGCACAAGTGAGACAGGGAGACAGAGAAGGGGAAACGCAGCATGTCTGTTACTAATGTGTTACACTGGGGCTGGGCGGTCATCCTGCTGGGGAGCTCTGAGAACCATGTGGCACGCTCGTCCAGGTGCCCGGACGCTGGGAGACTGAGACATTCACCTGCCTCCCTCCTGAAGATGGAGTGTGACTCTCAGACTTGACCTTAGGGGTTGGCAACCACGGCCCGAGGGCCAAATACAGCTCCGTCTGCTGGTCTCCATGTGTAAACAAAGTCTTGTTGGGACATGACTGCTCTTATTTATTTTTGTCTATGGCTGCTTTCAACACACTAAGGCACTGTTGGGTAGTTGAGAAAGTGACTATATGGCCTACAAAGACCAAAATAGTTACTTGTAAAATCTCTGCAGAGAAGGCATGCTGAGGCATCGTCTGGGAGATGTGGACAGGGTGTCCATAGCTGCCGGTTGTTCTCAGCTAACACAGTAAGTAGACATACACCCTGGGGATTAGCGCCAATGTCACATGTGCTGTGTGGGATCCGGAGTCCCTGTCCTGCTCCTCCCCAGGAGGCCACTGTCACTGCTCCTCTGCAGCCTGCATGAGCCCTGAGGCGGCAGCTCAGATGCAGCTCAGCTGTGCCTCTGGAGGACGCTCAGGAGGCCCAGTGGGTTAGGAGAAAACTTACCCCTGAGAGCCCAGGAGGCTGCCCTGCTGAGAACAGCTCCATCAACTGCCCAGGCCCTCCGTCTGGAATCACGGCACACAACGCTTCTTAAAATGCTAATTGCTAAGACGTATACTACATGATCAACTTAGACAATGAAGAATTTCTAAAATACCTGAGCATGAGCATCTAACACATGGAAAATAAGAACACGTGAGCACAGAGCTGCTCAGGCACTGCAGGGCCGTGTTGAGGATCTGCGGGTGTGCTGGAAAGGAGCCGACAGCACGTGGCCAGGCGCGTGGCTGGGTCCCACTCAGGAACGCCCGGCTGAGCATGTCTTGTTCCAGAGTTCAAAATGTGTCCTCCAGGGTTCTATGCTGATGGTGAAGAAGCAGGTGTGGGTCTGAGGGAGCAAGCACAGGAAGGGAAAGTGAGTAGGGGCTCGGGAAGCAGAAGCTTGTGGCTTCTGCTATCAACACAGTTTCCATCTCAGTCTTGCCCATTTCCAGGGCTGGGCTCTGGTCCCCAAGTGTGGCCCTCCAGCCTGAGTTATGGGCTGTTCCAGACTTTCAGGGTGATTTGTGGCTCCCTCCTGACCAAGGAACCCCTGTATCAGCACTCTCCTCCCCAGCCAGTGGCATCCCTGGGAAACCCAGGCTGGCTGGTGTTTTTCATCTCCCAAGAACAGCACGGCACACTCCATTCCAGAGGGAGCTGCACTCAGATTGAAACAGTTACATAACCTATTACACAGTACTGATAAGAGGGTGAAGTCATGCTAGTGTGTTGTGCACGGTGTCAGGGTTCCTTATGTCCTTGTCCCCAGAGCAGGCACTGCAGCTCAGCAGGGGCCAGGACAGGACCAGGGAGGGAGGGCAGTGGGGCCCCCCACAGCCTCCACCTCCCTCAGGCTCCGGGTCAGGATAGGAGGGCCCTGAGAACTTCACACTCAGAGAGAGGTGAGGTCAGATCCCCACCAGGCTCTTTCTTCAGAAGGCAGAGGAAGGCTGGGGAGGACGACCAGAGAGGTGAAGCCTCTACTCAGGCCTAGAAGACCAGGACCGCAGGGGCCAAGAGCAGTCTGAAGCCCATGTGCCCTGGGTGCAGGCAGCTGCAATGGCGTGACAGGGCAGAGTCAGGAAATTCAGACTGGCCAGGAGCCTGCAAGGGGACCCCTGGCTGCCTGCCCTCTGCGCTCCTCACAAAGTCACAAGCAGGGTGGCCTGGTGGAGGCCGCTGCGGGCTCACTCCTCTAAGTCTCTTTGTCAGCTGCACCCGTGCCCACACCACAGCCCGTGCAGCACCCACAGCTGTGGACATGCGGGAAGCTGGTGCCCTGTCTTACATTGTTCAGCTCTGGGCCTTGTTGAAAAGGACAGTTGTCAATGTCGTCTTCAAATTTCCCACATGTGGTTCGGCCCAGTTGCAGATTCATGGAGAAAGTCATCTTATCATAACCCTGTTGAATAAAAGAGATTAAAATGGACACACTCTTTGAGTTGCTCATAGGTAACTCCTTGTGAAGAAGCGACCTTGTCGGAAGAGACCACAACACTCTCCTCCATTAAGGAGCTCGCACGTGGACCTGGCATCGGCTCACTGGAGGTAAAAACCAGGCGACCTTCTCTAGACTGAGGAGTTAAGAGCAAAGGGCAGGTAATCGTGGTGCGTTCTGGGACAAGCACAGGCCGTCAGACCCTATAAATGCATCCTCTGTCTCCAGCTTCACCTCCCCGTCTCCCGCAATGAGACCCAGCTTCACCCTCAGCAGGCGTCTGATGCTGCAGCTGCACTTTCAGAGGACAGGAGCTGCATGCTTGGGAGGGTGTTGGCTCTCCAAGAGTTTGCAGGGCAACCTCAGCCCTGGGACAGAGGAAGGCTCATCTGCAGGGTGTTGTCAGACCATCCACCTGACCTCCAGCAAGAAGAATGCCACCCAGAGCTCCCACGACACACAGGCACACACCCTGGGGACAATGGCTTTAAGAAACGCCAACTACCCTATTACAAAGGACAACCTGACGTTCTCCTGGCTCGCCTTCCCACTTCATTCTATTTCATTCCACTCCATACCCTCCCTCCCGCTCCACGCATTCCTGCCAGCCCCCGAACTGCCTCTGAGATTGCCACATCTGGGACACCACGAGGAAGGCTCCACACCAGAGGGCAAGGGCAGAGCACCAGCCAGGGCCTTGCACAGAGTCTCTGCAGAGCTTTAGCTCTGTGCAGCACGAGTCCTTCTGCCCTGCTTTCAGGCTCTTCGTGCTGACAGAGGAAGAGCAATGCTCCTTCCTCCCCCGAAGCGGGAAGTGCTGCATTAGGAGGGCATTTTAATTGTTCATGCCAGCAGCCCAGATGAACTGTGCACTCCCGACTGCTTTCTCGATTCCATTAAAAGGAGAACATTTTAGGATGAAGGACTGTGGACTGAGGAAGAGTGTAGACACAGGAGCCGCCCAGAGCAGGTGGAAATCAGAACTGACCTCACAGCGGCCTCTCGGAGCTGATAATGCTGCTTTTTTCACTTCTGAATTATCAGCTCTCTCTGTCTCTCTGTCTCTTTCTGCCTATCTGCCTGTCTCTCTGTCTCTCTCTCTTCCCTTTCTTTTACTCTGATGATCTCTTTTTTAATTTCTTTGAAATGTTTCTCAGTTTCTATGGACATTTTTTGTGTGACCTATTTTCTTACCTGATGCCTCATTTTCTCAGTTTTTCTTATTTTGAGGTCATTCTTCAGTTAAGTGATGCCATAAAAATCATGGAGGTTGAATAATATATCTAGTATTGAGTAGACCCAGACTCAAAAAAATTCTAATTTATATCTTTCATAAAGACAAAAGTAACTTTCTAGGTTGTATTTTTTTACAAGTTTGGACTCCAGTTGGTGAAACAAGAGTCCTTGTTAAGCCCTGGCCACACACTTCCCACCCCCACCCATCACTCAGCAGCCTGTGCTGGACACCAGGGCAGGAGACAATGTGGTCACCAACCTGCTCCTTCCAGGAATCCAGGACACGCACCAGCTTGTAGGCATACCAGTCCTTGCTCTGCTGGTTGAATGTGTACACGGCAAATTCCAGGGTGAAAGGGAGATAAACAGCAATTAGTTTTTGGTCATTCCACTCCTCTTTCTCTTGGAAACACCAGGTATAGGTTACGAGGAGCTGGGAGCCAAAGAGAAGCATCAGTGGCACCCAGAAGAGAGCCCGGTTCCATGGCAGACTCGGCATGGTGCAGAGCACAGGACCCCTGACTCTGGCCCTCCCAGCCTAAACTCCCACAGGCTAAACTGCACACAGTTCTGGCCCTTAAACTCCTGAGCTCAGGCAGAAACTCCTCCCTGCATTACAATACTCCCAAATGTGGCCTCGCCTCCTCCAGACAAAGCTGCTTCAATCATCTTTTGTCCAGGGAGGAGTAACAGCAACCACGGGGGTGGGTTAGAAAGATCAGCAATGGGAGGGACGATCTGCTGGGCATGAGGTCCAGCCACCACTCCTCCCTAGTGCCTCAGTGGGCTAGAGGAGAGCACCCGCTTCCTTGGGCGTCCCAGGATCAGACTCTGAAATAAGACCAGAAGTGCGAGAGGTGTGAATGGAAGGTGATCCCTGGACACACCAGTGCGGTGGGGAAACAAAAGCAGACGGGTCAAAGGAGGAGCTGGCAGGAGCAAGGGCAGTGGGTGAAGAGCTGCATGGGGACTCAGGAAGGTCCACAGCACCTGCCTGAGCATGAGCAACCTGATTCTCCCAGGCTCCGAAGCTGAGAGTGAAGGCTGCTCTTGGGCATCCTTCACTGCTGTTTAAAGCTGAGGACCTGCTCCACTGGCAGAGGGACCTCCTGACAAAGAACTTGGGGAAGATTAGTACAGGTGCTCACAGCTAGATTCAGCCACTGGAGATACAAGTTTGGCAAAGTTGGGGGATGGTCCTAGGAACCCCACTCTGCTGGATGTCAGGGATAGAGGAGAGGGCTAGGGACAGAAACAACACCACGCATTCAGCTCTAGGTCACTTTCTTTCGAGCATAGCCGGACATAAGTGTGTCCTGTGCTGAGCTCTGATCTTGGATGTGGTGACCATGAAGGACAATGTGCCAAGGCCAAGGACACTCCCATGAGCTGGTGCACACCCTTCCTTCCCAGGCCTGCAGGGTGGAGGGAGTGTCCAGGTGGGACTCTGAGTTCATGGATGCTGCTCACAAGAGAGGGTCTCAGCAGAGCTGCCTGCAGCACAGCCCTCACCCTCCGGCTGACCCTCTCAGCCCTGAGTCATGAATGACAAATGCCATTTCGGGGTTCCACCCCCTGAGATCCTTGTTGTCCCTTCCAGCAGCTGGCAGCACTTGATGAATTCACTGGAGTTCTCCCAGAGATGCAGGGTGTTGGGAGTGGGGATGGGGTTGGTCCTAGCCTTGGAGACCTGAGAGCCAGTCCAGCTGTGCCAGCAGCTGGTCCTGCATCTTCAACCTTCCCTGAGCTTTCTGGGCCTCACTTGTCCACTCCTCAGATGGGAGTAGCAACATCCATCCAGCTTCCAGAGGCTCGTTGCTTCCTGGATAAATTGTCCTCATGGAGTCAAAGTGCTGCGATAATCGCAAATTTGTACGCTTAGATTGGCAATTGTTCTGCACTGGCAACTCCTTTCCTTATCTCTGCTGAGGGTACATCTGGACCTTGCACATTTGGCGTTTCTCCCCAGTGTCCCAGCCTGGACCCCAGCCTGGGGAAGGAATGAATGCTGGGCTCAACACTGCCACCAAGGCTGACAGCAAAGTGCAGATTCTGAGAGGTGTTTTCACCACTGTGATGACCAGAGGCACCTGCGTATCTCTCCAGAGGGGAACGCAGACGAAGGAGGCCAAAGCACAGGAAATTCCTGCAGAGAGGGGCTCAGAGGGAGGGCAGTCAGGGGCCCTGAAGACAGCCACAGTCCGGCTTCCTTCCCCTGATTTCTCTGGGGCCCCACGTGGGTGCTCCCTCGCATTGTCCTCACCCACTTGGAGCACCCTGCCCATCTGCACCACGTACTGTGCATCTCCTTGATCTTCATACTGAGTCTATTTTTCTTTCTGAGTCACAGAATCATCATTTATCCAAGTCAGATTTCTCTCCATAGTGAGAACAGATGGATAAACTCATCCCCGCTCCCCAACAAGCGTATCATGGCCACGTGCAGGAATCTGTAGTTCACATTTAAAGGGCTTTGTCCAATTCTCTCACATACATCACTAGTCAAAGAGCAAGGAAAAGAATGTTCTTATTGCAGTAGCGACTTGGTACGTGATTTGATCTTGGACTGACAGCATGCACAGTACAGCAATGCAAAAGCAGCTTATATGATCATAAAAGAAAAAAATCCATCAAGAAGCCATAACAGTGATGAACCTGCATACAAATGCCACCATGGGCTTGGAGTACACAACAGAACAAAGGACAGTGTCACAGGGAATCTGGCACTTCCGCAGCCACGTTGGGAGTGTTTACTATGTCTCCCAGAAGCTGGCTTACAGAGCCCACATGTTATAAAGGATACAGCAGGGTTGACAGATATAGTAACCAGTCTACTTCATTAGTTGCCTGTAAATTTATTTACTAAATATAAAGGGTAAAGTGTGTTTAAATTATGGCAAAACAAACAGAAAATTTGTTTAAATATATTCACATTGCTGTGCATAGAATATAATTTTTTCAAAGAATGATCTGATAATTATGAAATTAAAGTGTTTGTTATATTACAAGGATATTGGCAAAACAAGCCTCCAGGCTTAGCTGGTGGGGTTTGGGTACACTGTGCTCACTGAGGATGAGGTCATTGGCTGTTCCCTAATGTGTAAGCTCTCACCCCCAACATCTCCTGAAGCTCTGCCCCACCGCCTGGCTCTCATGGGTTGCCAGGCTCTTTCTTCACAAGAAACCTGATTCCTTGATGGCAGGAGTTGTGAGTCTTCGTTGTGGACCTATGTGCTGTCTCTGTGCTGAACATTGACATGGAGAAGGGCTGGCATTAGCAGGGCAGCCCCTCCCACGGTGATCTCTAGCTCCTGTGGAGCTCTGGGACAGAGCAGGCTCCGGGACAGAGCAGGCTCCGTGGAGGATGATGCCGGGATGGGAGGCTTGAGGGAATCTGGAGCCAGGAGTCCCCAGCCAAGCATTCTGTACCTCCATGACGGCAGCCTCACAGCCCAGAGATGTGCCACCATCTACTGGCCTGGGGTCTCAGCTGGTTATGAAAATGACCCCCACAAAGGTGTTTGGAAGATGAGTGGTGGCTGGATGCAGTGGCTCACGCCTGTAATTCCAGCACTTTGGGAGGCCCAGGTGGGAAGGCTGCTTGAGCTCAGGAGCTCAAGACCAGCATGGGCAACATCAAAAAACTCCATTTCGACAAAAAATGCAAAAATCATTTTTTTGTATTTTCTATAGAAATGGAGTTTTTTGATGTTGGGCATGTTTTGATGTTTTTTTAGGGGCATGCTGGTGTGTACCTGTAGTCCCAGCTATTTGGGAGGCTGAGGTGGGAGGATCACTAGACCCCGAGAGATGGAGGCTGCAGTGAGCCATGATCACACCACTGCACCCCAGCCTGGGCAACACAGTGAGGCCTGTCTCAAAAAAAAAAAAAAAAGAAAATGATAAGGATGAGTGACTACTAATACACACAGCTCGCCCCCCTTTTTTGTAATTTAACCAACTATTTTAGATTCAGGAGAGTACATGTGCAGGTTTGTTACCTGGGTATATTGCGTGGTGATGACGTTTGAGGTATGATCAATCCTATCACCCAAGTAGCAAGTATAGTACCCAATAGTTAATTTTTTAACTCTCGCCCCCATCCCTCCACACCCTACTAATTTCTAGAATTTCTGTTTAGCTCCCATTCTCACTTATAAAGTGAGAATACACTGTATTTGATATTCTGTTTCTATATTAATTCACTTAGCATAATGGTCGCTAGCTTCATCCATGTTCCTGCAAAGGATATAATTTTGTTCTTTTTTACAGTTGTGTAGTATTCCATGGTGTATATGTGTCAATTTATTTTTAATCAAATACACCGTTGATGGGCACTTAGGTTGATTCCATGTCTTTGCTATGGCAAATAGTGCTGCAATGAACATAAGAGTGTATGTGTCTTCTTGGTAGAATGATTTATTTTCCTTTGGGTATATACCCAGCAATGGGATTTCTGGGTTGAATGGTCTTTCTGTTTTTAGTTCTTTGAGAAATTGCCAATTGCTCTCCACCGTGGTTGAAATAATTTACATTCCCACCAACAGTTTTCCCATTTCTCTGCAGTCTTAACCAGCATCTGTTGTTTTTTGACTTTTAAATATTTAATCACAGCCACTCTGACCGGTATGAGGTGATATCTCACTGTGTTTTCTTTTTTAACTTTTATTTTAGGTTCAGGGGTACATGCGCAGGTTTGTTTTATAGGTGACTTGCATGTCCAGGGGTTTGGTGTACAGACTGTTTCATCAAGCACGTAATAAGCACAGTACCTGTTGGTATTGCTTTGATTCTCACTATCCCCTGGCCTTCCACCCTCCACCCTCAAGTAGAGTAGACCCGATTTCCTTTCTTTGTGTTGATGTATGCTCAATGTTTAGCTCTCACTTATAGGCAAGAACATGTAGTATTTTGTTTTCTGTTCCTGTGTTAGTTCACTTAAGATAATGGCCTCCACGGAGGTTGCAGTGAGCCGAGGTCGCGCCACTGCAATCCAGCCTGGTGCCTGGTGACGAAGTGAGACTCTGTCTCAAAAAAAAAAAAAAAAAAAAAAAAAAAAAAAAAAAAAAAAAAAAAAAAAAAAAAAAAAAAATTAATGGCCTCCAGATCCATCCATGTTGCTACAAAGGACATGATCTCATTCTTTTTTTTTTAACGACTGGGTAGTGTTACTTACTGTATATTCGCCGTATCGTCTTCATCCAGTCTACTGTTTGTGGACCTGTCGATTCCATGTCTTTGCTATCGTGAATAGTGTTGTGAATATACACATGGATGTGTCTTTACTGTAGAATAATTTATATTCCTTTGTCTATATACTCAGTAATAAGCTTTCTAGATTGAATCATAATCCTGCTTTGAGTTCTTTGAGAAATCACCAAATTGCTTTCCACAGTGACTGAGCTGATTTACATTCCCACCAGTAAGTGCTCT